TGGCTCCCTCGGCCGCGACCCCGCGCCCGGCCTCCTTGCTCGTAATAAGGGGTCGCCACCCGCGTGAGCCCAGCCGAGGGCGTCCCTAGGGGGCTGCTGGGGCCCTTCCGGGCCCACGCGAGGTCCCCCGCACTCCTCTTCTAGGCTTCCTCCAGTGACGCCCAAAGATGGAGCTCTGTGCTTCCCCTGGGCTGTGAGCTGTGGCTTTGGCCTTCGGTTGTAAACGGCGCCTCGGATCCACGCGGGTCCAGGGAGGGTCTTCCCAGAGCTCAGCCTCTCTGGGGCACCGATCTCTGCCGAGCTGAGCCAGAAATAGGGATCCTGGACACACCAGAAGGCGGGGATCTCCGCCCTCTCTTCTTCCCGGGCCCGTGCCTCAGGACAGGTAGCAGAGGATAGGAGGGTGGTGTGGAAAATGGGCACCTTTCTGTTCTCTACTCTGCCATCTGCAGCGACGGCTGGCTGGTGGGATTCCAGCTCAGGAGGCAAAAGTGTCGGTAAATGTGGGGAACCCCAGATAAAAATGCTGTTCCTGGCAGCAACAGAGCTCCGTTTTCAGACAACTCGCAGTGTAAGGGTTTCTTTGAAACAAGAGGCTGCTCAGCAAAAAAAACTGCACTCGGTAAACGTATGGAATTTGTTTTTATCCACAGATTGGAGTTTACTAAGTTACTGTCTGGACGGTTTGGGACCATTTCAAAGGGAAACGGAAGGGTATCGGTATCATCCGTGGCCCAGTCACTGCTCCATCTATTTATGGAATCTGAACAAGGAAAATGTCGTTAGCTGGCACCAGACCCTGACCCAGGCACCGGACCTGCCCACGAGCAGGTGTCTGGTGTTGCTTTTTTCTGTCCTGAGTTCCGGGTCAGGTGACAGTGGCTGAGGAGATCTGTTGCCTGCCAAAGCGTTTTTTTGGTGTATCTTGATCTGGTTTGTTCCAGCTGGACCTTAAAAAGGGTAGATTGTCCCCATTTCACAGCTGGAGAGAGAGGCCCAGAGCAATGAAGCGAAGAGCGCAGGGCCACCGTGTGAGAGGTTTCCCCTTTGTACTTTTTATTTTCCTGTCCAGATGATAAACCCCTAAGGGTCGCAGTTGGGACATTTCAGTCACACCAGCATTGTCCCCCTTTCTCATTTTTTTTTTATTGGCTTGGTGAGAAGATCGAGTAGGCTCTCACGAGCCATCCCTTGGCATTTTTGCTGTCGTGGGATGCCCACATGGTTTTCCGGTTGTTGGCGGAAGCTGGCAAGAGAAGCACCTTCATTCACGGTGCTAGTATTCCGTGCTGGAAGCTAGCATCTCCGAGCCCTTCATGTCTGCCAGGCACTGTGCTAAGTGCCTTACAAGGATTATCTCTGCGTGTGTGTGTAACGCAGCGGTTTTCCCGTTCTGTGGTGGAGGTGCGGAGAGCTTAAATAACTTGTCTGAGGCCACCCCTCTGCCGAACCCGTTCTCTAGAAACCTTCTCCAGGGGCTCCCAGGTCTTCTGGGGTCAACTCAGGCTTCAGCACGCAGCCTTCCTAAAGTCCGAAGCGGGGAGTGTGCATGGCTGGCCACTTAGAGCCCTTAGTGTTTGGGGCATCTTGTCACGCGGAGTGGGGCTGTTCCCAACCGGCTGGCGCAGGTGACAGACCGGTCCAGGCCCAGCCACTGCAGGTCCTGTCTTGGGGAGAAGCAGAACTGGTGTCTAAGACCCCGTGTTCACCTCCACCCTGTGGGGACAGAGCTGCACATTTCACAGGTGGTTGCTTATCCGTGGAACCAGGCTGCTCACGTCCTAACCATGTCCCCACCAAGCTGCCTGGCCGGCAGCAGGTTGCTTTACCTCTCTGCACCTTTAGCTCCTCTCTCCTTGCACTAAATGTGGGGTTGATGTTTAGTTGTGGCGAGAACAGTGTGATCTGTGTCAAACTGTCAGCCAAGCACTGGGCGCCTGGCGAAACCCTCTATAAATAGCTTTTAGTATTCAGTTTTGGGGTGAGTCGTAGCAGCTGCTGGGTGGCAGTGCTGAGCCCTCTTCCTGTTCTTCCCCTGGGCCTCCATTCCCATGGGGTCCTCATATGCAAGGTGACAGTGGGATTCAATTTATTTATGTGAGAATTTGTTTATTTTTTCCTCCAGCCAATGTTTTCAGAAAGCCTTTTCTATGCCAGGCCCTAGAGATATTGCAGTGGGCAAAACAGACAAGCCCTCCCATCTTCACTGAACTTCCTTTCTTGGGGGGAAGAAGGGCACACCGTTAGCAAGGTAAATGTAGTCATCAGTGTATATGTGTTTCAAAGATCAGTAAGACGGGAAAGGTGTGCAGAGGGTGAGATGTAGTGGGGCAGAGTCACAGTTTAACAGAGTGGCCTGAGAGCCTCACAGAGCAGGAGATATTTCCACCAAGAGCTGAAGCCTGTGAGGCATGGACCACGTAGATGTCAGTGGGGGAAAGTAGGCCAAGCAGAGGACACAGCAGGTGCAAAGGCCCTGAGGCAGGGGCATGAGCAGCTGGATCCTACAGAGGGGCAGTAAAGTACGAGGCAGGTCAGAGAGGTGACAGGCTGAAGGCCAGGACGCATGTACCCTTTGGGCCTCTGAACAGAGGAGTGACAGGGTCCGGCCTGAGGTAGGGGAGATCACCCTGACTGCAGAGCTGAGGCTGAGCTATACACACAGTGCAGTTAGGACGCGGTGGAAGGTGGAGAAGCAGCTTGCTTCCTAGGTGCAGTTTGAAGACAGAAGCCATCAGGTTTGCCCCAGGTTTGGGGGCCTGAACATCCGGAAGGGTGGAGCTGCTGTTTGCTCAGAATTGGGGGAACTGTGTTTGAGGCAGGCTCTGGGGAGTAATGGCTCTGTTTCAAGGCTGTTAAATCTGAAAGGCGTCCAACTAACTTGGTCAATGGTCCCAGGCCAGAGCTCAGGGGAAAGTCCAGCCTGGAGCTCACGAGAACTTGTGCCCTGGTGGATGTTTGCTAGCTGGCTGTGTGGGGCAGGGGTTGGGAATGGGGGGCCTTGGCCTTTGCCCGGGTCTGTGGTGGAAATCCCAGCCGGCCAAGTTGAAGTACACCCTGACAGGACGTCTTTACCTTTGAGCTGCAGTAGCTGTGGGTAATGTCAGGAGCTTAGGTGATAGAGAAGAGTCGTTGCAGGATGAGGAGGCCCTGAATTTTGTTTTATTACTTTTTCTTTATTTGTAATTTTCTTTGGAAGGGAGTTGAAACGGTCTCACTACGCAGTTCAGCCTGGCCTTGAACCCACAGTTGGTCCCTAAAGACGTGTGGGGGACAGGGGGGCATAGCTCAGTGGTCTGGAGAGCTTTCCTGGCATACACGAGTCCTGGGTTTAACCCTCAGTACCACTGGAAAAAAAAAAAGAAAGCATGGGAGTGAGGACTCTTCTCATGTACTTTTAAAAAGAATATACTTAGGCTGCTGTGATTCAAAGAACATTCCCTCTTCCTGCTCCACACAGCAGAGGCAGCGTTGCAAAGGCCCTGTGGGGGCTGGGAAGGAAACACAGGGGACACCAGTAGCACCGCCACCCCCCTCCTGCCCTGTGTGTGCACAGGCTCAGAACAGCTCCTCCTGACCGGAAGCTGCCCTGCTGGGAGAGCTGGGTGGCACTGGCCGTGTGTCCCTCTCTCACTTGGGCAGAAGCAAGGACCAGAGGCAGGTCGGGGTCCCTCCTTCTGAGATGGTAGTGCAGCCCTTGTCTAACAGGTGAGTGTGCCCCAGCTTGGCCTCAGACTGGAGGTGGGCGGCCCTGGGCTCTGGGACAGGGCCCCGGTACCCACAGTTCATCCCGACTCCCGGGGAACCTCTCACAGCTGACCAGGAGCCCCCCCACTCTGCCACACTTCAGGTGGGTGCATTGCTGGCTGGTTTCTTGCAGAAGGTGGGATGCAAATGGGAATGTGGCCTCCTCCCCCAAGTCTTAACTTCTCAATGCTACTCAGGAACCAGCCACTGGCTCATGATTTATCTTCCTGCTTTCCCAGCCCTCAAAGCAACCCCTTACAGCTCAGCAAGGCAGAAGCACCTCCATGACCGCAGGATGGGGTACCCTTTCCTTGGAAAGCATAGGATGAGTGGCAGTAAAATATCCCACTGTACGCACTCCTTTCCTAGGAGAAGGAGTCGAGGCCCCACTGGGTTAATGACATGTTCAAGGTTACGTGGTGTCCCAGGCCTGGACAGGAAGGGCCGCACTTTTCAGTTTCCAATCCAATACCCAGTCCTCCAACGTTTCCGACTTCTCACTAAAGGTTTTCGTGTCAATTTCGTAATTTAAAAAAGAGAGAAGAAAATTCTTGGTTGGATCAGTCATTAGATGGCTGCTTCTGGGCTTTTTTGGCCAACTTCAAGGCTTCAGTTTTGGTAGATTTATTTCATCACCCTGTCAGAGCAGGCAAGGCAGCCAGAGGGAGGAGGAGTGAGGGCTTCAAAAAAAAGCCTGCAAGGGTCCAGCCTCCGCAGCTTGAGAGGCGGTGTGGACCACAGGAAGAGAGCAGGTGCCTCTATCTTCCCAGGACCTCGCCTCTGCCTTACATTTAATTGGCTTAATTTGTGAACGCTGTGTAATGGTTTGTCGCACGCACCATCCCTGTTCCTCCTCACAGCCTTCCCTCCTTCCAGTCGGTGGCATCAGTCCTGTTTCACAGATGGAGAAGCCAGGACTCGAGCTGACCAGTTTTCCTGAGGGTTTAGCGAACAGGAAGTGGTGTGGAGCCCAGGTCCTGGGGCCCCGAGGCTGCATCCTGCTGTTGCCTAAGGAAGCCGCCTACTGCAGTGACCCAGGCTCAGCCTTCACGACCTCGCGCTGCGTTTCCTCCCTGTTTCTTCCTTTGCTCACACTCAGCATGGAGCTTATTATCTGACTCAGTTGTTTCAGGGGATTGGGCCAAGAAAACCCTCCAAGGCTGTTTGGAAATAAGCCATACGTGGGCCTGCCCTGGACCTGCTGAATCATAGCTGCATTTTCTGGGTGATGGGAGTAGGGGCCAGGGGGCCAGGTGTGTGCCTTTCCCCTCCAGCCCTGGGGATGAATCTGGGCCCTCTCGCATGCTAGGCAGGTGCTCTGTCCCTGAGTTGCATCTCCAGCCTTAAAAAAAAAAAATTACTATTTTTGTTTTGAGACAGGGTATCCCTAAGTTTCCGAGGCTGGCCTCGAACTTGGAATCCTCCTGTCTCGGTCTCCAAAGTAGCTGGGATCTTGGTCGTGCACCACCATGCCCCATTTAGGTGTGTGAGTGTTGGTTCTGATGCCCCACTCAGCACTTGGTGCTCAAAGTGTGCTCCTTGGACCAGGTCCCTCCCCTGAGCTTCTGTCTCGGAATCTGCATTTTATTTTATTTTTTATTTTGGGGTGGGGGAGTTCTGGGAATGAACTCAGGACCTTGCACTTTCCAGGTAGGCTTGGTGCCACTGAGCTATGCCCCCTCACCCCAGAATCTGCATTTTAGAAGATCCCGGGAAATTTAAGTATTTAAGTGCACATTGAAAGTCTGAGCAACAGTGTGAAAGGTAAAACACTGGTAACACACACACACACACACACACACACACCCTACCTATGCTGCTGATTATGCTGATTTAGGAAAGAGCTGTTTAGCAACCAGAGTAAGCAACTGTGTTGAAATAGCCAGTACTGTGTATGTTGAAAGGAAGGCCCGGGATATACAGGCTAAGGGTGGCTGCCTGGGGCAGGGCTGGGCGGAGAGGATTGCAGCCTTTGGATCTGGAAAGGGCAGAGGCCCCGTGGGCCTGGTGCCACCCACCCCGGCTGTCCTCGGGGTGGGGTGCTCGCCCTGGGCTCCCCCACCTGTCCATCCGCTGCTGTGAGGCTCTGAGCTCCCCTCTCGTACCAGGCGCGTGCGGAGCCCTGGCTCTCAGGATCTGATCAGGAGTTTGAAGTGCGGCTGCCAGCTGGCGCCGCCTCCTTCTCTAGGGCTGTTCTCCAGGCTTCGGATTTCTCCTCGCCACTCTGCTTTTCCGCACTGACCTTGCAGCTTTTCCTCCCCTCTGGGCCGGGGGTTGCTGGTGGAGGGCCAAGGACAGGGGCCGGGAAGTAAAAGGGTCCTGGGGCCCTGCATTTGGGAGCAGGAGCAGCTGAGGAGAGCGGAAGTGGGAAGACGGGGGCCTCGTGGGGTCCTGGGGTCAGGGCGATGTGAGCTGTCCCGTGGACGCTGGTGTGCACACCTACGGGGCCTTGTCCTGGCTTGGATACGACTAGGGCCGCCTTGGGGAGCTGGGGAAGGGGAAGGGAATTCGGGCCCTCTGTACACGATGGTGGGCAGCAAGCTGGCGTTGGATAAGCCGTTTCCTTCCTAGCCTCAGCTTCCCTCTGTACGACAGCCTGCTGCGGTCATTGCTGGTCCTGTCCACCCTCTGTCAGGTGGCGAGGCTGGCACAGGATGATGCCCACAGTCAGTCACTTGCTTTCTCCGTCACTCTCCTGCCCCAGCACCGTCTCGCTCTCTCTCACGTCTTCCTTCTGTCCCTTCCCCAAAGCCCAGCCTCTGTGGGGAATGGGAGGTCAGGAAGAAAAAATCCGCACATGGGCCCTGCGAAGGGGCCAGAGAAAGCAAACACTGAAGGCTTTGTGGCCTCAGAAGTGGCAGCTGCTAGGAGTCAGCTGAAAGCAGGTGGCCTGGCAGGTTTGTTCCTAGGGGTTCCTGGCACGTGACTGCCAGGGAGCTGAGGAGCTTGCCAGCCCTGTGCCCCCTTTTCCCTGTGGGAGCTTCATCCAGCTAGGCCTTAGAGGGACGATGGGATGGGATCTGCTCTGCGCGATTCCTCAGGGCTCTCGCGCGGGTGTGGGGAGACCTAAGGCACTGTGGTGCAGGTTCCATGTTGGCCACACACAGGACCTCAACATTTGCTGCCCTCGTTCCTGACCCATCAGAACCACTGCCAGTACTTGGCACTTACAGGGTAGTGGACTCTGGCTCGTGCTAGGGAAACGGAGACGCAGCCAGGTTGAGTAACTGTCCAGTAGGACAGAGTTGGGTTGAGATTCAGTCAGGCAGTGAGTTCGAGTCTGTTTTTTTCCCCGTTTGCAGGGCTGAGGATCGAGCCCCGGAACCCTTGCCCGGGTCAAGCGGGTATTCTACCCTTGGCCACAACCCCCGCCCCAGAGTCCTTCAGTCCTTACTCCTAGCACTTATAAGTAGTGACTTTGTGCGTGGAATCCAGTAGACGTGGGCAACAGCCGAGCAAGGACCACATCCTCGTGCCCCTCAGCCCGTGCCCTGAGGCCCCCACTTCTGGGCTGGGGTCACCCGCCTGGTCCACCCTTGTGGATGACACTGGCTGGGGTCGCACAGTGGACGCTGCAGCCTCAGCCTCCCTGGCAGTATCTCATGGCTTTGCCACTACCCAGGCTCTGTGCAACAGAATGACGCCTCTCTACTGCATGGCCCACGACTTTCCCAGGCACGATCCCCGTTTCCGAGGCAGGCTTCCTACTGCTGACTGCCTGGCACGGATGCTCGCTCTGCAGGAAGGAGGGGAAATCATGGAGCTATGATGTTTTCCCAGGAAAACATGAGTGTGGCTCTCACCAGGCAGGAAATGTTCAGTACCCTAGATGTGCCCATGCCAGCCCCCTGAGCGCATCTGATCCCTTGCCTGTTTTTCCCGTGCACCCCAGGTGCCCAGGCCTTTGGAAGATGCTCACGGTGGCCGTGTGCGTGGCTCTCGTGGGCTGCCTGCAGGCCCAGGAGCTCCGGGGACACGTCTCCATCATCCTGCTGGGAGCAACTGGGGACCTGGCCAAGAAGTACTTGTGGCAGGGACTGTTCCAGCTCTACCTGGATGAGGTGGGGAAGGACCACAGTTTTAGCTTCCACGGGGCTGCTCTGACAGCACCTGAGCGAGGCCGGGAGCTCATGGCCAAGGCCCTGGAATCCCTCTCCTGCCCCGGCGACATGGCACCCAGTCACTGTGCTGAACTCAAGGACCAGTTCCTGCGGCTGAGCCAGTACCGCCAGCTGAAGACAGCTGAGGACTATCGGACCCTGAGCAAGGACATTGAGGCACAGCTCAGGCAAGAGGACCTCCGGGAGGCTGGCAGGATTTTCTACTTCTCTGTGCCACCCTTCGCCTATGCCGACATTGCCCGCAGCATCAACAGCAGCTGTCGGCCGGGCCCGGGTGCCTGGCTGCGGGTTGTCTTTGAGAAGCCCTTTGGCCATGACCACCTCTCTGCCCAGCAGCTGGCCACTGAACTCGGGAGCTTTTTCCAGGAGGAAGAGATGTACCGCGTGGACCATTACCTGGGCAAGCAGGTGAGCTGCAGCTGGGAGCCTGCAGGTGCCACGGGACCCTGTCAATAGGGCCCACCACTTATTGTGGAATTGGGAGGCCCCGGGGCCTTGTGAATGCTGGGCCCCACAATCTTCCCACCGGTGGACAGGAAGTGCGAGGGAGCAGGAAGCCAGGGGCCCCCGGGCCTTGTCTATGTGTCCTGCCAGTCCTTGTCTGTGTGTCCAGCCTCCTACACTCGGTATATCCCCATCCTCCGTGCTTCCGGGCCAGAGGTTGGGCTCTGATTCCTCAGGGTTAACCTGACCTCTTTACAGAGGTGGCCCGGGGACGTGGCTTCCCAGGGAGGAGGCTGTGGGATGTAGAATTAGCTTCCTTATCTTGTACCCATCTGCCTTTTTCAGAATTCTTTTCTTCCTGATCTCTGGTTTGAGCCAGATGACTGGTAACGAGATCTTGAAACCGATTGGGTACACTGGCACCCTATGCCCACGAAGCTCAGCCACACCCCGAGGCAGGAGCCTGGGGTACCTCCTGGGGGTAACGGGTCTGTGGCAGAGTGTGCAGGGCAGCTGTATTCAGGTCCACAGCTGCTGAGCTGACCACCTATTGGCCTCAGGTGTCACCTGCGGCAGGCACTCGGCTTTCCATCCAGCCCCAGCAGTTGCCATAGTAACAGTCCCCAAAAGCAGTCCTCAGGACATGGCCAGTCCTGGTGAGATTTTCACTTGTTGACTTCAAAAGGAGAGGAAATAGTGAATGCATTCCTTGTGTAGCTTTTCTTGGTATGTTATTGGTATTGAAATACCTTTCTTTTATTAAAAGTTGTTAGCTAGAGGACACAGATAATTCTCAAATGTTCTTTGTGGCTGTTCAGGTCTCTTTCATCTGTGATTTGTTTGTTTGTTTGTTTTTGTTTGTTTGTTTGAGGCAGGGTCTCACTTGTCCTTGAACTCCAGGCTGGCCTTGAACTCGAAGCAATCTTCCTGTCTCAGCCTCCCCAGTGCTAGGATTGCAGCTGTGCACCACCAAGCCTGGTCCTGTGGCATCTTTGCTGGGCTGTGAAGCCCTGACGTGCAGGAGCTCTTCTGAGAGCTTGTGGCCCCGCCGAGCAGGGATGGCAGGGCCTGAGCCCGGCAGCCAGCACTCCCGGTTCCCCCGGTCCCAGCACAGCTGCGCATGACACTCTCCCTCCCTGACAGGCTGTGGCTCAGATCCTGCCCTTTCGAGACCAGAACCGCAGGGCCCTGGACGGCCTCTGGAACCGGCACCACGTGGAGCGGGTGGAGATCATCATGAAGGAGACTGTGGACGCGGAAGGTCCGTGAGTGGCCCTGTGGGCTCTGCTGGTGTGTGGTCGCCTCCCGGGCCCGCAGGGTGCCTGCTGGCAAAGCCCGAGATATCACCGCCGCCCGTAGCAATGTTTGGCGCAGTGCTGGTGTGGACACCCAAATGCCTGGCCAGCAGCAAGGGCTGGACCTTGGCCGGGACTTAGGGAGAGTGGTGGAAGCCACACGAGCCGTGTGAGGGCTTTGTACACTTTGGGTTGCTCAACGCAGCCCTGCCTGGTGGTTCCCTGTGTCCTCCTCTCCCAGCCCTCTCTGTGCTGTCCCGGCACCGTGGCTCTCTCGGAAGCCTTTGCGACTCTCACGGTGCAGCACTCTCTGCCTGGCCCTTCGCCGTGCCGTCCTGGTCATTACCTGTCCTTCTGTCTCTCCCTGCCAGCCTTGGCTGCAGGAGGGCACCCACCTCAGCGGTGCTGGTTAAATAGCGAATGAACAGTGTCCCCTGGGGTCGGGGCACCTGGGTGTTACGCCTGCGTCTGCCTCCAGCTGGGTGACCTCAGTATGTGACTTCCTCAGCTGTGGTCTGAGCCTGTTCTATAGGTGTCAGCAGCTAAGGTCACCTTGAGCTCTAGAATCCTATGATAGTGTCAGTCTTGGAGCAATGACCGAATTAAAAGCATCAGTTCTTACCCAATGATGATGATGACAATGATGATAAATAGCAGCCATTTCTTAAGCGTTTTTCATTTCCCCATTGTCCTATGAGGGGGATGATTATGGAAAAGATTTGGTGATGTGCTCAGGGTCCCTGCAGGAATGGGAACGGGACCTTGGGCAGCAGAGTGACCCCAGCACCCACCCTGGCAGGAATGCACGCTGCTGCTGGAGACGCGCTGCGGCCAGCTTGGCCTGTGGCTCCTTCTGCAGCTGCAGGGTCCCCGGAGGCCACAGCCTCAGACCTGGGAGGGGTCTGGCACTTCTGTCTCTTCCTTTTCCTTTCCAACTCTCCTTTCTCATTGTATTTTCTCTTTTCCTTTTCTCTCTCCCCGTCAGTTGCTCAGCAGCCTCCTTGCCTTTCCTCTGTGAATGAGTTTTCAGTGCTAGAAGCACCGTGCAGGGTCAGGGGCTGTGGAGAAGTGGAGACCTGGCCTCTGCCCCCTGATCCCCCGCAGGTCCATGGGGTGGCGACAGCTCCAGCATGGGGCTTGCAGGTGGGCAGTGCTGAGAGAGGCAGGACCTCCAGGCTGGCCTTGAAGGGCACCTCTCGGGGGAATGGGTGGAGGTGACACTGCCACCCTGGCCGCGGCCAGCGGGTGGGTGTCTGTATCTCTTTCTGCTGCCTGGATTGGCCCCGTCCTTGGCAAGTGTGGAAGACCAGTCTCCTGTCCGCCCTCCTTCATGGCAGCAATTTCCTGTGCCCACCGGGCGTGGGAAAGAGCTGAGACGTCTGAAGGTACCGGGGTCACCGCTAGCTCTGAGCTCTGCCACCCTGGCACTCCCTTCCTTCTGGCTCCTGCCTGGCGCTTGGGTTCTCGGCAGACTGGAGGCCTGGTGTCCTGGCAAAGGTGCCTGTGGCTTTTGGAGAAAGATAGAGACACAGGTAGAGCCTGGGCGGAACTGCCGGCCAAGGCGAGCCTGCAGTGAGAGGAGCTTGGGCTCGAACCCCAACGTTTGCCTGCCTGGCTGTTCCTACCCCTGAGAGGCCCCAGGCTCTGTCAGCAGCAAGTGGGTTTCACTGCTCCTGAGCCCCTAAATGATACTTTTCTACTCGGCCCCAAGCGGGCCAGGCAGCCAGGATCCTGCTCTCTCTCCCCAGGGTTTAGCCAGCAAAGGTGAGGCCCAGGAGGGAGGGACGAGCCAAGTTTCTGTTTATGCCAGGCCTAGGGCTGTGCTGGGCTTGGGTGTCCCAGGCCCGCTGAGAGCTTCTTTGGAGGATCTAGCACGGGAGCACAGCCCCTCGTACACCCTTGACGGAGGACGAGGTCCTCCTCTATCGGGGTGCTCGTCCTCTTCCACCGACAGCACAGCTTTGGGAGGGGCGCATGTGGAGCGGTAGGAGGAAGGGGGACCTGGCCCCCAGCCAGATCGGCCGAAGCAGCCCTGGCAATCAGTGGGATGACCGATGTCACATCCTCCCAGTCCAGTTGTAGGCACAGGCCCAGAGCAGGTGGTAATGGGGCTGCTACTTCCAGGGCTCTCAGCTCAGCAAGAGGGACTGGGACACGGCGCTTTAGCAACAGAGGGAGCGCGTGCGCTCTCTTCTTCATGTGTGCCTGCCCGAAGCTCGGGTTTTGTTCGGAGAAGGTCCCTGGTGCGGTCCTGGAGGTGCAAACACAGCTCACACTGTCACCTTGTCCTGCTTTGGCTCTAGTACAGGCTGGGGAGAGAGGACTGGCCACTCGCACAGGCCCAGGGCACCAGGTAGGAGGCAGGCGGATGGGGGAGGTCCCTCTGGCTGGAGGTCGGTGGCCTAGGGGGCTGCTGCTTCCTGGGGAGGACTGAGTCCCCCAGCTGTCCCTCCATGGGCCCTGCTGGGCTCCATGTGTTCCCCACTTGTGCCCTGCAGGTGTGCGTCCCTGGCTGGCCCAGCTGCTCCGGTGCTGAGCCAGACAGGAGGGGCCGCAGGCCAGGCCGGGCATGAAGCTGTCCTGGTCCAACCCTGCTGCAGCCCTGGGAGCTGCAAGGTCATTTAGAAGTCTTTCCAAGCCCGGAACATACACATCTAAACGGATGACAGCGGCTTCCCCAGCTCCTGCCCCTCTGCGTTTTTTTGTTCTTTTCTCCTTTTGCCGCAGCCTCTGGCCAAGGAGGAGATGGCTGTAGAGTCCTCTGGGGACAGGGGTGGAGGAGGAGGAGGAGGAGGAGGAGGAAGAGGAGGAGGAGGAGGAGGAAAAAGAAGCCACCCCCGGGCTCAGCCCCAGAGACCCAAGATGGCACGGGCCCTGGCCAGGCTCTCCTGGTGCAGTAGCAGGGGCCATGGGTGTGACCTTGGTCACTGCGTAGCCTTGACCCTGACTGGTGCTCAGCATGCAGAAAGGAGGAGCCAGGACTTTCAGGACAGAGGTGTGGCCTCCGGGACTGAGAGTGCTCTCTCTGCTGCCCCAGTTTCCTCTCTGGGCAGAAGCCTTCCTCAGGAGGTCCCTGCTGGGGACCTGCTCCTGTCCCCACAGCAGGAGGGGAGCATGACTCTGGTCATGGGGGGGCACTGAGGCAGCCGGGCCCTTCAGGTCCCCACAAGCTGTCCCGACCCTGGCCTAGGTGCCGGGAGGAGCCACTCTGCAGGGCCCCCGCTCTCCCGGCTGTGCTGCTGTCTGAGTTCGGGCTGCCAGCTCTCCCCTCGTCTGTGTCTCTATTTTTAGTGATCCCGGAAGGTATTGGTAGGGATTGCAGCTGCTTTTAGTTGTTTTTCTTTTCTTTCTTTCTTGCCTATTTATTTTTAAGTATCTGTTTTTACTGGGAAAACCCAGATCTCTCTAAACAGGGAAGCAATGAGGGGCAGGGTTTCCGCTCCAGCCGAAGGTGGTGACATTCTGACCTTGAAAAGATGCTGAGAACCCTCAGCGTTTGGGGATTAAGTCAGATAAATGGGGAACTTCTTTACAAATGGCAATGTTGTCCTCCTTCTAATGAGCAAGAAGGAGAGGCACCTGGGGGGTGGAACCACTGAGCCAAACCCCCGCCCCTGCTGGGTGTTTCTTACCACTGTGCTCCTGTGAACCCGGAGACCTGTAATTGGTCTGGAACCCTCTGTCCATCCTTACCTAGCATTTGTCTCTCACACGTGCACATGTGTGTTTGGATCGTCACGTATTGATATCGGCTTAACACATCCTTTAATAGCTCAGTATTTCTACTCAGTTTTTTTTTAATGCCCCAGAATAAATCCTCTAATTTATTCTGTGGTATAAATTCTGTAATCAGGCATTTTGTTTCTAGTATTTGCTATTTTAAGTGGTGTTTTCTCAGTTTTTGTAAAGATTGAGATAAAATTCACATACCGCAAACATTCCCCCTTCCAAACATAGGATTCGATGATTTTTAGTGTATTTACAAAGTTGCACAGCCAGCGTCTAATTCTGCCGACATTTATGAGCATGGAAACTTTGTTTTTGTCCCTTGAAGCGCATTTCTGCCGTGGAATGAGTAGGACAGAGGGTCAGGGTCACTCTGCAGCTGTTCTTTCCTCTGGTCTGACCCAGCGGTGGCTGAGGGGCCCCTGCCGTGTCCCCGAGAACCTCGGACAGGCTCTGGACCCAAGTTCACGGGAGTGGTGTCTCTTTCCCTGTCCAAACTGCTCGGGATTTTTTCTGTTCTTTCCAAATACCACTGGGCTTTAGCCCTCAACCTTATGGAAACTAGGGGCGGTTGTAGATCAGTTTTAGGAAAAAAAAATCAGCCCACAGGCTCCAGCAGAGACTAGAACATGCTGGGCCCTGAGCTCTGTGCTGGCCCTGGCATCATCCTGCCCTGGAACACGGGATTCGGACAAGGCCGGACAGAGCCGTGAGCCCAGAGGCTGTGCTAGGCACCGGCGCACCCTGCAGCTGGAATCAAAGACGTTCTGCTCGACCCAGCGGGTGGCAAACCCAGGGAGGGCAGGCAGGCAGGCGGCTGTGGGCTTCTCCCCAGTGGGAGAGGCGCGGGACTAAAAATAGCAGAGGGCCACTTAGGGATCCGCTAAATTAATGAATAGTAAGAAGATAACAGGGCTTGTAAGCCCTCCATTGCAGTCTCTGCATTTAAAACTCATCTGTTTCTAAAGCTCTGTCCTCTTTATGCTTAAATCTGCTGCGATTCATTGATTGTGTAAAACTCATTTTTTTTCTTGCTTGAATATATCTGAAGTTGGGTTATGACACCAAGAGCGTGACTTGGGTAGTAGGTTGGTGGCCCGTTTCTTTCTTCCTGTTTTTTTTTCTTCCTAAGTCCTGGGGGCCGAACCCGGGGCCATGTGCATGACTGGCAAGGACCCTGCCCCTGAGCTGCACCTTCCCTCCAGCCCGTCTCTCTCTGGGTACAAATGACAGCTTTCCCCGTGGACGGCCTTTCGGATTTGGCGAGATCCAGTTCGCACCAGCTTTCAGCGTTTTATCCAAGCCCAGGCCTTATACCTGTGGTGACCTTGGCAGTTCCTTTAGCCAAACAACGCATCACCAGAAGTACCTGCTCCTTTCCCAACGTTTGTTTGATGGTGGTCCTGGAGTTGAACCCAGGGCCTCACACACTAGGCAAACGTGGGGCCCTGAGCTGCAGCCCCAGCGCCTCTCTCTCTCCATGCTTTCTTTCCAGATGGTCAGCGTGCCTGGGTTGCCTGGCTGGTAGCCTCTCTCCTGCCAGGCCTTTAGTAATAAGGCACCAGCCATCTTCCTCTTGCCAGTCCCCGGCCCAGCCCTGGGTCTGTATAAACTCCTAACCCTCACAGCGACGCTGCGAGAGGTGCAATAACCATTCCTTCTCCGTACCTGTGGCAGTGGCGTTGTTTGCCTGAGACCTGGCCAGTGTCTGCCGAGCCGTTCTCAGCCTCAGCCGCACAGACAGTTCTCTGGATCACGAGTCCGTGCCGTGCTCCTGGCTCCCACCCATCCCTGAGCAGTTCTTATTCATCCACAAGATTGTGTCTTTGCGCTTTCTTGGTCCTTCACTGCTCTGGCCTTTGTCACCTCCTTGGAATGCAGCAAGCGCTGTTGCATGGATTTCACTACCCGGATCCCATCTCTGTCCCATGGTCTTGCAGATTGCAGTGGCTTGGTCGCCCTGGGCCACCTCTCCGGTGGCTCCAAGCTCCCTACTCTTAGAACTTCTTAAACACCACACCGTTAGAGCCACCCAGGGAAGCATCACTGGCAGTTTCGCATCTGGATTTGCTTCTTTTGGGTGTTTCACACGAGAACCATGTGCTGTGTGGCCTTTGCCTTTGGCTGTTGTCTCTTAGCTTGGGGATTCAAAGAACATCCACACTGCAGCACGGGTCAGTACGTCAAGCCGCCTCCTCCTCCTTCTTCTTTTTTTTCTTTTTCTTTTTGAAACAGGGTCTCACTATGTAGTTGAGACTGACCTGGAACTCACTATGCAATCCCAGGCTGGTCTCGAACTCAAAGCGATCCTCCTGCCTCAGCCTCCCGGGGCTGGGATTGCAGGCTTGCGCCTCCTTTCCTGGGAATGAACTTCATTTAACTGTGGGAAATCGAGAGCTCCCCACAGCTCCTTCCGCCCCAAGGCTTGCCACTTCTGTTCTCAGTTGCTGTGCTTCTGCCAGCCAGACTACCCTGTTATCCCCAAGCTGCCCACCCAGGACAAGGCCTATACAGAGTCTCACACACACACACACACATCTCCAGGGCACAGTATTTTAAAAAAAAAAAACCTGCGTTATCTGCATACATTTCAACATTAAACTGAGGCTGTGGCCAGAGCTCCATGGTAGGGCGCTGCCTAGCAGGAGTGAGGTCCGGACTCCAGCCCTAGCACCATGAGGAAAAAGACAAAAAAAAAAGGGAAGAAAATTAAAGGCTACACTGAACAACCCAGTGTTCACTCCTGCTGACCAATGAAGATTTGGTCCCTGGGCCAGCGAGGCCCCCGGTCTGCAGCTGAGATAAGTTTTACCCTCAGCTCCGAGGACAAACCCTCCTCACCATCACCACCCACTCAGAAACTTTGCTTCATTATATTTCAAAGTGGGGGCAATAGTGGGATTGCTTTTGTTATTATTTCGAGGAATCCATGGGCTGATAGTCATATATTTTTGTTTGTTTGTTTGTACCTGGGATCGAACTCAGGACCTTGTAGATGATGGCACCACTGAGCTAAATCCCTGGCCCTAGGTTTTTTTTATTTGTTGGTTTTTTCTTTAGTTCCTGTTTGTGGCACACTGAGACCACATCCCTCGTGGGGAGTTGGCCTGTGTTCATTCTCTTATCTTTCCTCGTATGTTGGTGTCATCATCGTAAGGACCCCAAGGGGCCGGGGAGCCCCGCTAGTACTGTGGGGCTCACTGTCCCCCACATCTCGGGGCTCGGGGTCCCCAGCCAGAGCCACCTCTTCATGCTCTGGTCAAGAGCAAAATGGCTGTGCTTCCTGGCTCTCGGCCCCGGTGCCGGTGCCTCTGGCAGGAACTGACCTCAGGGCTGAAGTCAGGGCCCCACCCGGCCCTGTCGCCTGCAGCTGGCCCGAGGCTCAGAGCAGGTGCCAAGGACCCAGGGTGTCCACCCTGAGGAGTGCGCTGGGCCTGAGTGTATAAAACTGCGCATGACCAACCCCAGAGCACTGCTTACTCGTTTCTTTTTCATGTATTTCACACATCGAGAGGGAGCTCGGGGCTGTAGCCGCAGGACCTCCCGCCCGCCAGACGAGCGCCCACCACAGGGCCACACCTCCAGCTGCCCCACCCCGCTCCCACAAAACATTATCCTTTTGTGCACCTCTCCCTGCCCTCTGCCCCTTTTCGAGGCCCGATTCCCTCTTCTGTATATGTCCGATTCCTTAAACACACTGTTTCGTTGTGATGGAGAGTCTCACGCTGCGCGTGTCCAGGTACAGCTCTTTCTGTCTCTCTTGATCTTTCCCCACCCCCGGGTGCTGGGGATCAAATCCCGGGCCTCACACACGCTAAGGTGTCCACTCCGTATTGAGCCGCCGAGCTGCACCCCACCTCCTTGCCTCTCCATCCCACCTCAGCCACTGCCTCTTCAGATCCTCACGGACGCAGCTATTCCGAGTCTATAAAGTGCACCAGCTGAATTTCTGATTGCCGGTGATACTTTCATTTACTGGAGTTCAGTTCCTTCCGGCCATGTCACCCGCTCCCTGCAGGTTCGGACCTACTTGACCAGTGGTCGTGCCTCTTTCCCTTGGCAGGGCGTCAGGGTCTGTTCTCTCTGCTGTTCACCTTAGGAACGCAGCTCTGGCTTAGGCGATGAGTTAAGGTCAGATGGGCCTGGTGAAGACAGGGCCTGCAGGAGGGGCCCGATCTCCTGGGAGCCGGGACCTCGAGGGGGCGTGGACAGCGGCCGTTGGGGAAGCTGGTGTCGCGTTCTAGCTGACGTGAGTGCAGCGTCCTGATTGTGGTGGATGGTGGCTCTTCCTGCCTTGATGTCTGCTTTCTCGGTGCCTGGACTGGTTGTTTCCGAGCCTGGGCAGCTGTGCTTCGCCGAGGGAGGTGGCATGTTTGAGCCCTGGGTTCCGAGGGTGCTGCCCGCACTGGGGTCATGGTGTGGTGGCCCTGCCTTCCCGCCCCTGTCACCCGACTCCTTCCTCCTGGCACAGCAGGGACGAGCAGGTGGCTGCCGTGTGGGCCTGCTGCACTGAGCAGCACGGCGTGTGGTGGGGGCTCTGTGTCGTACCAGGAGCAGCGGGCGTTGCTGGCTGTGCTCTGTGCCCTCAGTGTTGCCTCCTCCAACTTCCCATAGAGAGCTACTACAGTTTTACCTCTGTACTTTTTCTTCCTTCCCGTTTCCCCACTCCCGGCAAGTGCCCTGGCAGTGTGCGCGGGTCCCAGGGTGGCCTTTGTCAGCCCCTCACTGGCAGGGCACAGGAGCCAAGTCACTTGCCCAAGATCTCACGCCCCGCAATGCGGTGGGACCTAGCACCCAGCTGTCCCTGTGACGTCTTTGCTGACCCCTGCTGGCCGGGGCCAGGGAGGAGCACCAGAGTCTGGCTGCTGTCTGCCAGTGCTACCTTCCACATGACCCCCGAGGCCCAAGGACTACCGCCTTTTCTGGGGGACATTTTTGTGCAGGGAAGTGGCCCCCGACTTTGCCCCACCTCTCCCATGGTTTGCTTTGTGGGGGGCGGGGCACCTCGGGATCCTCTCGATGACGCCCCCTCCCCGCCAGGTCGCATCAGCTTCTACGAGGAGTACGGCGTCATCCGGGACATCCTGCAGAACCACCTGACCGAGATCCTCACGCTGGTGGCCATGGAGCTGCCCCTCAACGTCAGCAGCTCGGCGGCTGTGCTGCAGCACAAGCTCCAGACCTTCCGCAGCCTGCGGGGCCTGCACAAGGGCAGTGCCGTGATGGGCCAGTACCAGGCCTACAGCTCACAGGCGCGCAGGGAGCTGCAGAAGCCCGAGGGCTTCTACAGCCTGACGCCCACCTTCGCAGGTGCGCCCCAGGTGGGGCCTTTGGGGTACGGGCTGCGGTGGGTGCAGCCATCCAACCCCGCCCCTGTGCTCCTGGTGGAGGGGCTCGAGGTGGGTCTGGCACTGGGGTGGTCAGGGCACGGTCACCTTCCCCCGCCCCTGTGGTCATCTACGGCTCACGAGGCACCAGTTGGCTCTCTGGGAGCCTGTCAGTCATCTAACTGGTGCTCTCACGCCTGCCTCTGTCTGGGCCAGACCTGTGGAAGCTCCCTGGAGGTTTTTGCCTGTGAGGACAGAGCAGGGCTGGCCCTGGTGGGGCTTCTGTCCGGCCTCCCAAGAAGGTGGAAATTGCCAGCCACAACTAGAGACCTGAGGGCAGATGTCCCCAGAGCAGCCTTCCGGGAGGTTCCGGAGCTCTGGGAGAGACAGCGGTGGCCACTCACATGAGCAGTGGCTGCCCACGGGGCCCATGAGATACGTTGGGCACTTGTGCAGGCCGCCGCTGTCCTCACACCCGATCCGTGGGGCCGGGCCGGCGTCACATCCTACAGCGAGGCTGTGATGCTAAGAACGTGATGTGGGTCTGGCTCCTGCCACATCACACTGACGTGCACACACATGCACGACACCTGCCCCATGCAGTCTCCCCTGCACCCTTGCCCCTCCCTGCTTGACATCTGACCTTGCTTCAGGTGTCCTGAGTGATGCAGGAGGGAAGCACCTGTCCTAGGGTCCCCTACCCCTCCAGGCATCAGGATTCCCCCCAGGGCACGGGACACCACGAGGCTCGGGGTTGCAGTCCACCACTGGCCCAGTTGGAGCAGGGGTTTCAGGGGTCCCGGGGATGGTTCCGAGCACAACTGGGAAGGGGAGATAATGAGGAAGTGCAGGGGCCAGGGAGACTAGGCAGGGACGCTGAAGGGACCTGGGGTGCAGGGCAGGCCGGTACGTCACACTCTGCTCTCTCCCTGCCCCAGGCGTCCTCGTGCACGTGGACAACCTGCGCTGGGAGGGTGTGCCCTTCACCCTGGTGTCTGGCAAGGCCCTGGACGAGAGAGTGGGCTACGTGCGAGTCCTGTTCAAAAACCAGGCGTTCTGCGTCCAGCATGAGAGGCACTGGGCCCCAGAGCAGAGCCCGTGTCTACCCCGGCAGATCATCTTCCACATCGGACACGGCGAGCTGGGCCACCCCGCTGTCCTGGTCAGCCGGAACCTTTTCAGGCCCTCACTACCCGCACACAGCTGGACAGAAGTGCAGGGACGGCCGGGGCTCCAGGTGTTTGGCCGGCCGCTGTCTGATTTCTATGCCTACAGCCCCGTGAGGGAGCGGGACGCCTATTCCATCCTCCTGTCCCACATTTTCCATGGCCGGAAGGAGTCCTTCATCACCACAGAGAACTTGCTGGCCTCCTGGATCTTCTGGACCCCGTTGCTGGACAGCCTGGCCCATGAGGTCCCGCGCCTCTACCCGGGGGGAGCGGACACTGGCAGCCTGCTGGACCTGGAGTTCAATGGCGGCCACCTCTCTTTCTCCCAGCATCAGCCTGAGCAGCTGTTTCCACGGCCAGGTTTGGCCCTGAAGCCCAGCGACTTCCAGGTCCTCGGGGCCAGGTATCGGGAGAGCCCACTGGTCTCAGCCTGGCCCGAGGAGCTGATCTCCAGGCTGGCCAGCGACATTGAGGCCACCGCCCTGCAGGCCGTACGACGCTTTGGCAAGTTCCACCTGGCGCTGTCCGGCGGCTCCAGCCCCATCGCCCTGTTCCAGCAGCTGGCCACAGGCCACTACGGCTTCCCCTGGGCCCATACTCACCTCTGGCTGGTGGACGAGCGCTGCGTCCCGCTATCAGACCCCGACTCCAACTTCCAGGGCCTGCAGGCTCACCTGCTGCAGCACGTCCGTGTGCCCTACTACAACATCCACCCCATGCCCGTGCACCTGCGCCAGCGGCTATGCGCAGAAGAGGACCAGGGCGCCCAGACCTATGCCAGGGAGATCTCGGCCCTGGTAGCCAACAGCAGCTTTGACCTGGTGCTGCTGGGCATGGGCACAGATGGGCACACTGCCTCTCTCTTCCCGCAGTCGCCCGCCGGCCTGGACGGCGAGCAGCTGGTGGTGCTGACGCACAGCCCCCTCAGGCCGCACCAGCGCATGAGCCTCAGCCTGCCGCTCATCAACAGGGCCAAGAAGGTGGCCGTCCTGGTCATGGGCAGGACAAAGCGTGAGATCACCATGCTGGTGAGCCGTGTGGGCCACGAGCCCAAGAAGTGGCCCATCTCGGGCGTGCTGCCAAGCTCCGGCCAGCTGGTCTGGTACATGGACTACGAGGCCTTCCTGGGGTGATGGGCATCCTTGGCCCGCTCGCCCTGGGTTTCTCGAACCTGCCGCCCTCCCTCCTAGTGCCCCACCTGCCTTCTCGTGCCCCCTCCCCGTGTCCCTGCTCTCTGGACACTGAGATGAGGCCCCAGAGAGGAGGGGACGAAGCCCAGGCCCAGTCCCTGGGACGGTCGCCCCTGCGGGGTGCTGGTGGGAAGGCACAGGAATGGAGGCATGGAGTCCTGCTCTTGGGAAATCTCACTCGGGTCTGGAGAGAAGCTCAAGACGCACCCGCGGGATCCGCCAACGGGCTGGGGTGCAGCTCAGTGGAAGAGCCCTTGCCTGGCACGCGTGGGGCCCTGGGTGCCATCCCCAGCACCGCCAAAACATAAAAATTGGTAAAAGGAACAAGGATGAGAAGGCCCCACGTTCAGAAGCAGGAGCATGGGGGCTGGGGTTGATGGGGGAAGTGGCCTGGGAGAGGCTGGCCTGGAACTGTCCCAGTGGAGAAGAGTGCAGTGCCCATGCCCACCCTGAGCTGCTCAGCCCCCTTCCCCTGCCGCCCCAGGTCAGCTCCGCACACCGCCTGCCCTCTGCTCCTTTCCCCGGAGCCTCTACCTGTCTGCCCCTGGTGCTCTGGGTTTCCTGTCCCTTCTGACCCCCAGCCAGTCCTTCTGCAGAGAGGTAAGTGAGAGGCCAGGGGAGGCACCCTGAGACATCAGGCTGACATCAGGGTCTCCTTTTCTCCGTCGAGAGCCTTGCGGTCTGGGGCAGGGGCCTGGCTCCCCGGCTTCTCCACTGCTCCTCCTCGTGGAGGGTCTCACTCCGGGAAATACAGGGTGCACAAAATCAGGGCATCCTGGGACCCCAGACGCCAGAGAGTGATTACATCTTGGGGCTGCTCGGCATGGCCACTGGTTTTAGCAGCAGGCTCTGCTAGAGTCATCCTCTGATGGGGACACTGTGACGTCATGTGACTGCAGGCCTTCGGGTAGCTCTGACCCACGGGACAGTCAGGCCCCTGCTAGGTGGCCTCAGCTCTCGGCCCGGTCTGGGGCTCAGGTGGGCGACAGGGACAGAGCGCGGCCAATCCTCCTCCACCGCCTGGGCAGCCCGGGCCTCGAGCTGGTGACTTCCGGCTGCAGGTCCCTCCAGCCCCCTCCCTCGTCCCTGCCTGAGACCCCAGGGGAGGAGGCAGCAGCCTCTCTGTCGCCCTGGATGGGTCCCCTGCTCCCTGGAAGCTGTGGGCCAGCATCGCCTATTTTTCTGAATCCCCCAAAAGAAGCTCTGAAATTCTTTTTAAGGAAGCCAACAACAAAAAGCACAACTCCGAAGAGCCAGGGCTTGGAATGGTCAAGCCAGGTCTGTGTGTGACTGTCCCCTGGCCTGTGTACCGCTGCACAGTCCCAGCGTCTTGTGGAGTTTTCATTTGGAGAGGAGCTTTTAGATGGTTTATACTTTCTTCCAGGCCATGCACTGAAACCAGTTCTCCCTTTTCCTTGGCAATGTGTGTGTGTGGTGGGGGGAGCTAGCCGGGGCTCCCTATGAAAGGCAGCCTTGTTCATAGCCTGCTTACTCTGGACCCCAGCAACCGGAGTCACAGGGCCTCTACCAAGAAAGCTTCCCCGGCAGAACTGAACCCCAGGCCCAGGTGGTGAGGAGACACAGGTGGGTGCCAGGGAAGTTCCGTCTCTGGCCACCTGGGGGCGCCCATACACTGCCATCGGACCAGCTGTTAGGTAGCCCCCTTGCCCATCTGCCCTTTAGGGATACATCTCTGTGGTAGCAATGCCAGGGTCGCTGTGGAAAGGAGGGAGAACAGGCACTGTGTCACCTACCATTTCTGAATAATACTGATTCACTGCCCGGCCTGAGCCTCGGGTGTCCCGTTCTTAAGCGGAGGACCCTTGGTCCTTCTCCACCACGGGTTGGGACGAGAAGGCCGGGAACCAGGACCAACCCACGGGTGCCGTGTGGACCTTGCGGACCATGATCTGCAAGAACCACGCTGCACACCACCAGTCAGGCACATCTGTGCGTGAGTTTGCATCTTCAGCAAGTTTCACAAAGGGAGTTCTTCCTCCTCACGCCTGGGGTACCCTTGATGTTCTATTTTTTCATTTTAAAAAATGCTATTTGCAACCCACTGAAGTGAGCTGGTGCAGAGTTTGAGAGATAACACCCCTTGTCCGGCTTTCTACCTGGTCCAGCTGCCCGAGGAAGGCTCCAGGCCACGGCGGGGACAGATACAGCCTCTGCCTCCAGCCCGGGCAGGAGCACCCCATCTGTGCACCACAACAAGTGGCAGCCGGCCCTCTTCTGGGGGACCTGGCCCATGAGCACCCCCGGGGCGGCATGTTATCCCCAGCTGTGGTGGGGGAGAATCGAGCTAGATTCTGATGTTGGATCTGGGGCAAATGTTTCTGTCACCTGCAGGTAAAACAGTCTCACCTTGTTGGTTTCCCCCACTTTTTGCTGCGCTGCAGGAAGCATTGTTTTTCCGCTAGGGCCCCAAATTGGTACGGTGTAATGAGAACTTCCTACTGACTGGACCAGTGCTTCCTCCACTTGGGACTGTCCCTCCGGGGTGCTCTCTTCTAGCTGCCTCCCTGTCCTTCTGGAGATGCTGGGACAAGCAAGGCAGGGGATCTTCCTGGAGGACCTCCTGGAGCTGCTTTCAGGCAGAACAGCTTTCTCCCCTGCCGTGTGTGCAGCCCTGTGACAGCCCTGCTGGGTTCGGTTTTGCCTGATGCAGCTGCGGTGCCTTGGGCCCCTGCAGTGGCCTCTGCCTTTTCTCCCTCCGGCTTCCCAGCAGCTGCTCTGCACCTGGGGCCCGTGGCCAGCACAGGTGACACTTGAGGCGGCACCAGTGGCTCCGTTGGGGTCATCGCTAGGGCCTGAAAGGGCACCTGAATGGGAGCAGTTGGGGCATCTCGCCGGTGCCACACTGCCTGGGAGCCTGAGGACTTTAATTCCGGGGGAGGCGGCAGGAGCCGGAAGCAGCCCGTGTTCTTGGAAGAAGGTCACACCCCAGGTCCTCGGCCAGCACTCAGCGGGAGGACCGGGGAGAGACTCCGAGGGCTCCAGCGCCCCGCCACTGGGGCAGTGACTGCTTGCGTGCCGTGTCCCCTCCAGCCAGCGCAGGGAGTGACAGGCATCTGTGTGCAGACCAGGCCCCGGGACGTGTGTGCCTGTAGGTGACTGTGGGTGGACACGGCCATCTCCAACATCAGATGAACTATACTTCCACTTACACCTTGATTCCCAAGACCAGCTGGGTGTGCGGCCCTTGCCTTGTCCCGAGGCGTTTCCTGCTGCTGTGGGAGGAAAGGCACTTTCCCTTGTGGGAAGGGCAGGTGCCTGTGGACAGGGAGTAGTTTGTGTCCTTTGCCTGCAGGAACCTGAAGGGCTGGGTAGGAGGTGTTTTGCAGGGCACGTGCAATGGGAAAGGCGCCTGAGGTACTGGTAACCAAAGACCCCTTGCCTCAGTTTCTCTGGGGTGAAAAGCAGGTAGTTGGCTCCTCCCAGCTCTGTCCCTGGGAAGAGCCTGGTGGGAGCCTTCACCAGCCCGAGGGGTGGGGTGTGGGCCTCCGCAAAGGTCGAGGGTCTTGTTGCGCCCTGGGTCTTCGTCACCTTTGCTCTCTGCTCCTCCCTGGGCAGCCTGGGCTCTGGGCCTCTGTCGGGAGGGAGGGAGGAGTGACAGCCACAGCCACCACTGCCGAGCAGCCAGAATGTGCTGGGATTTTTCTCAGACAGGGAGGCCTCTCCTGGTTTTTATGGAAATGTAGGTACCCAAAATGGTAAGACACTGAGAACAAATGCCTTTTTAAAACAGTTTTTACAATGCCTTTTTGTATGTCAGATTTAACATTTATTTTTTTGAACAATAAAATTGTTTCACCAAAAGCCATGTTTTGGATGGTTCTTTTGGAGTCGGAGCAAAGCGGGGTGCAGGTCTGGGCTCTGCTGTTGTTCTGGAGGAAGGGGGAGTAGGAAGCACCCCCACCTTCCGCACAGCCCCCTGGACAGCAGGGCAGTCACCCCGAAGATACCAAGGGAGGGGTGGGGAAGCCATCACCAAAGCAAACTTGGGGGTGGGAGTCAGGGACCGGCTGGACTGTCACAGACAGCGGGCAGGGCCCAAGCCGATTTGGTGACATCACAAGGTGGCAGCAGAAGCCTGTGCCTGAATGGGGAGCCTCGGGCAGGGACCCTGAGGCCGAGTGAGGGGGGAAGGCAGGGAGGTTACCAGTGCCATTTCTTCGACACAAGTGACACGCAGAGCTGGCCAGATGCCAAGGGATGCACTGTGAGGAGTGGAACCCTCCCCACAACGGAGCAGGACCTCAGGTGACACAGAGGCAGACGGTGCGCCAGTCAGGTCGCAGCCTCCCCTCCACCCCCATCTGCACTTCCTGTCCACACACAGTGAGGCCCGAGGCCCCTGGGGGCACTGTCCCCACCGAGGTGTCCCTCTGCTTGCATCCCTCAGGTTCCCTTTCCCTCTGGGAGGCGGTCCGGGGTGTCCTCCGGGGCCCTCCCAGCTCACATCCAGGACACCTGGCCTCCTGGAGAAATGTCAAGGTGACTGAGGGCGCTTCCTAGCCCCCAGGCCTTCCCCACGGCGAGGGCAAGGTTCCCAGCCTGGCACATCAGGGCCTGGTGCCTTGGCGGCAGATGCGGGAGTGGGGGCAGCTTGGGGCCTGAGTTGCTGGACAGGAGGGGCCCAGATGGGCGGCTCTGGTCACTAAAGCTGATGGAGGACGGGCCGCATGCCCTTGAAGGCCGTCCTGGGTCAGTCCTGCCGCTCAAGCTGACCACGCCATCGGCTCAGGGAGACCATGGCGGCTCCATCTCCAGAACAAAAACAGGCTCTGAGAGTGGAAGGGAAAGATTGCTTTTGTCCTGAAACAAGCCTGGAGCAGGTCCCAAACCCCAACCGCTGTACTATGAAAGACAGACCAGGGCATTCCCACTGTGCCACGCCAGGCACTGCCTTTTCAGGGTCTCTGCAGTCCCAGAGGCTCCTCCAGCTCCTCTGGGCTCTGCCACACCGGCCGACCTGACCCAGACCAGCAGCCTCTTCCTTTTGCACCCTGAGCTTGGAGCTCCACTGCTCCCAGGCACCTGAGCAGAAGGCCTTCTGTAAGGTCATGAGTTGGCCCCTGGAGTCAGGAAGACCTCAGTTCCAATGCTGCCTTGCGGGCACTGCGCAGTGACGTCAGAGCTGTGGGCGCCAGCTTCCTGCTCTGGGGCCAGCTCCAGGGCTCCCCACTAGGACCTCGGTGCGCTCAGCAGGGTACAGCAGGGCTCTGGGGGAAGAAGGGGTGGGATTTAGGAGTTGAGAGGATGCTCCCGGCGACTTCACACCTCTCACAGGTTGTTACCTAGTGCTGCTGTGTGCCAGGCACCGTGTTGGCAATGGGATGGACCAGGCAGCAGGACAGAGGAGGACCCCAACCCAGGGGCTCCTGGCTTAGGGACAAGGGATAGACATGGGCTAAGGGTGGCAGGATGCTGAGCGAGGACTGTACTGGGCCAGGCGGAGGGGCCCAGGAGGGTTGCACAGGTGAGATGCCAACCGGAAGAGGGCAACAGTGGGGCAGATTCTGAGGACGGTGGCACTGCCAGCATGGGTCCAGCCTGTCCTCCCTCTCTGCCCTGGTGTCCTCAGGCACAAGCCCTGGGCAGAAGTACCTTGTCTCGGGTAACTCCTGCCAATGCCCAGAGGCTGGGGGATCCCCCCGGAACCACCGGAGGCCAGGGACCTGATGCAGCAGCTGCCCCTCCTCCTCCGCCAGCCCCCAGGGAGGCAGAGATTCTCTCTAGACCTTGGCTGCAGCCCCAGGCATCTCCCCACATCCCTGGAGCCAGTCCTGGCCCTGCTGAGCTGCAGAATGGCCCAGGCCTCTCACGTCACCTGCCCTGGCAGGCACAGAGGCCCCATGAGGCCTGGATGCGAGGCACACAGGCCAATAGCCCCGAGGCAGCTGCAGGGTCCCCCAGGTGCGGCTCCTCAGTCCCCATGCTCCGGGACAGAGTACAGCCCCTCATGCCAGTGCCTGGGTGGCCGGGTGTCTGCGCAACACCCAGGGCTGGAAATGGGCACCATTTCCCTGGCAGTTTGCGGGGGGAGCTCCCGGCAAAGCCACAGGTTCGGCACGATAAAAACAGACCCTGTAGTTATAGCAGACAATAGCTTCTCTCCTAAGGCCTGGGCCCCTCCTGCCCCGCATCCCTGCAGATGGGCTCAGCTGCCTGTGGCCACACAACAGACCCTCTGCCAAGGAAGCAACTTTGTAGCTGGCACCTAAAAATACCACTTGTGCTTTTTCTTTAAATAGAAAGGAACTTCAGCTGTTCCACCAGGGCCCCAGGCTTCTGGCCCCCGAGTGGGCACCCTGGGGCCTCACCTAGACTCGGTGGCCCCACGCGGAGCTGCTGTGACTTGGGGCTGTCAGGGGGACAAGGTTGGGGTCTGCTGTGCCTGGCATTTGGCCCACCCAGTATTCCGAGCCCCATGTAATCAGAGAGGAGGCGTCTCTCAAAGGCCAGGGTGGGAGTCACCATGTACAAATTAATCCGAGATGAAGGGGGTCGAGGATCTGCCAATAAGACCAGAAGCCAGACATGCTGGCACATGCCTGAAATCCTAGCACTTGGGAGGCTGAGGCAGGAGGATCCCATGAGTTTGAGGCCAACCTGGCTATTTAGTGAATTCAAGGCCAACCAGAACTACATAGAAAGACTATGTCTCAAAAAATATAAATAAATAAATACATAAATAAATGAAATCAGAGGGCTACAAGAAAGACCCGGCAATCTCCCATCTTACTCCTTCAGTACCTAATCACTCTACCCAGGAATTACTTCAATCCCTTTTAGTTGTTCCATTCATTACTGTCATATTTCTCATATTTATTCATAATGTTTTCATTTTTGACATTATCTCAATGCTCCATATCTAAGTGGATACATAAAACAAGGGTTCAAGATCCCGACTTTGGCCAGGAATGATGGCACAGCCTGTAATCCCAACACTTGGGAGGCCGAGGCAGGAGGATTTCCTAGAGTTCAAGGCCAGAGTGGACTACATTGTGAGACCCTATATTAAAAAAAAAAAAAGTTGGCTCGAGTCCATATTCATAGAAACAAAAGTTTGATTAGGAACAAGATGTTACACAGTCTCAAAGTGCCTACTCAGTATTAATTCCTTACACAGAGAAGGCAAGTAATTTTGTCCTAGAAAAGCCTGCAGGTATCACCTTGTAATCCCTGTCACTCACAGGTAATGGGACAAAGGGAGTCCATGCGCCCCCTAGCGGGAACAATTAGAACAACGCAGCGCCACCTCTGATTTTCTGCGGGCCACCAGCCGGGCTGAGCGCATGCGCAGAGGAAGTGGCCATGACCACACTCTGGCCAAGAGCGAAGGTCTCCGCCTGGGGATCTCAGTACCCAGCTCCTCTGCGCTGCACCGAGCATGGGGGCGAGTCAGGGTCCGGGTTCCCAAGCCTCAGTGTCAACAGGAAGGTGAGAGGGGAGCCAGGGTCACCTAGGGCTGCCCCTGCTGAGGGGCACAGGTT